TGGTGAGACAGTGAAGGATTGGACCTTGCATGCAGATAGGGGTCTACGGTTCAAAGATTTGTTGGTGGTTTCCACAGTTTGTTATGAGGACATCTTACGGGAGTTACACACTTCCTGCTTTGCAGTTCATCTAGGTGGTACTAAAATGTATCACAATTTGAGGCGCCAGTATTGGTGGAACGAGATGAAGAAAGATGTTGCACAGTTTGTGACTAAGTGCCTTACCTGTCAACATGTGAAGGCTGAGCATCAGAAACCGGCTGGTTTATTGCAACCATTACCTGTAGCGCAGTGGAAATGGGAACATATTGCTATGGATTTTGTGACAGGTCTTCCAAGGTCACGGAGGGGCAATGAAGCTGTATGGGTCATCGTTGACAGATTGACCAAGATGGCTCACTTTTTGCCTATTAAGGCAACTGATGATGCAGAGAAGCTTGGTGTACTTTATGTGAAAGAGATTGTAAGGTTGCATGGAGTTCCAGTAACCATTATCTCAGATAGGGATGCCAAGTTCACTTCGAAGTTCTGGGAAGGACTTCAAGCAGCGTTCGGTTCAGTGTTGCATCTTAGTACGACATTCCATCCACAGACAGACGGCCAGTCGAAGTGTACTATCTAGATCTTTGAGGATATGCTTCGGGCATGTGTGCTTGACTTGGGTGGTAGTTGGGAAGATCATCTACCACTTATTGAGTTTACCTACAACAACAGTTATCAGGCGAGCATTGAGATGGCTCCATTTAAGGCGTTGTACGGCAGTGTCACGACCCGACAATTCCAATAAAATCCTCAATTTATACAAGTCCGAATACATCAAAATACACCCAGGATCACAAAAAAAATGCCTTCTTTTATACAAAGTCAATTTCCTCAAATATACAAAAAAAAAAAAAATCTCCAAATAAAACTTGTAACCCCAACTCTTCATCCTAAGCCCGTCTCTAGCAATCCCCGTTCATCATCGGTACCTGAAACTGGAGGGTGGTGAGACAAAAGTCCGAGTAGGAAAAACTATAACAAGAATTTCATGGAGGTTTAACAAAAACAGCTTCACAAAATAAACACAAGTGAGTATAAACAAAATACATATGCATTTCATGAAAACATTTAATAAAAATATTGAAGCAAAACCTCCCCATGCCATTCAAGGTATAGAGAACCCTACACTGAAAAAGATTAATTCCCCACTAGATCATCAAAGCTCCAAGCTCCAAGACCTCCTCTGTAGACTCTCGGCTTACTCACTGTCATCTCTCTCAACTCACTATGTTTCTCTAATTTTTCTCTTCTCTGCCTCGTCTTTTCTTACTTAGCAAATATGCACACAACATACACAATTAAATAGGCCAATCCACCGACTCAATCCCACTTTCAGCTCACCAAACCCACATGCAAAAATCAAGCCCAAGTCAAAAAGTGGTCTGCCAAATCTTATCATTACTTTTCAATACAAATTCTTCACTTCATCAGAACCCACGTGAAGGAATCAGAACCAAACAAATGCTTCAACAGACAATATATATTTAGAAGGTAATAAAACCAAACAAAGCACTTCAAAGTTTGTGGGACCCACGCCAACATCAACACCATTTCCAATTTCAATCTTTTTTCAGTTCCCTTAGCCAACCTGACCATAAGCTCACCCATTACTTTCGGCTGGTAGCATCACCCCTCCATCATCACATGCATTATATATGTATATATATATATATATCATGCATTAAATATATATATATATATATATAATATATATACATAAATATGTGATAAAAATCAAAACCCATTACACCTTTTCCTGTGGGGCCTGCAAAAGTCATAATCACCATTTCAATTTTTCTTCTTTCTTTCTCCACTGTCGGCTGCCCCTTCCTTCCACAAACAAGATGTAATATAGATATATATACATAAATATATAATATGCAATAAAAACCAATTCACACTCCTCTTTCTTATCTCACAGACTGACATCACAAAATTCAATCATTAAACATTTCTCTCTCTCTCTCTCCACTACAGCTGGTTCACACAACACACCAATTCACTATCAAAAATTACATACAAATAATATGTAATAAAAACCAATTCAACCCATCAATTCTTTTCCTGCCTTTCCCATTTTCGTCCAGCACACTCACCTCTATCAGATGCTACATACAAAAATATATATATAGCAAATCCACTAAACTGAGTCTCCAATTTAAAATAAGATCACTAAAAATCATAAAATAAATTAAATTAAAATCCTAAAATTCGGGTCATCACAGGCAAACCTTGTAGGTCTCCAGTTTGTTGGACTGAGGTGGGCGAGACAGCCGCCTTAGGACCCGACATAATACTCGAGACTACTGAAAAGATTAAGCTGATCAGACAGAGGTTACTTACAGCTCAGAGCCGATAGAAGAGTTATGCAAATAAGCGGAGACAGCTATTATCCTTTAAGGTGGGAGACCACGTTTTTCTTTAGGTTTCTCCACGGAAAGGGTTGTTGAGGTTCGAGAAGAGTGGCAAGTTATCGCCACGATTCATTGGACATTTTGAGATCTTGGACCGGGTAGGAGAAGTTGCCTACAGACTTGTTTTGCCACCACAGATGGACAAAGTTCACAATGTCTTTCATGTATCGATGCTACAGAAGTACGAGCCAAATCCATCTCACATTTTGAGTTGGGTTGATATGGACATTGATGAGGATGTTTCCTAGGAGGAGGGACCAGTTCAGATCCTTGACACACAGCAGAAGGTGTTGAGGAACAAGATGATAACATTGGTGAAAGTTCTTTAAAAACACCACGGAGTCGAGGAGGCTACTTGGGAGTTTGAATAGGAGGTTCGCTCCAAGTATCCAGAATTGTTTTCTCCTTCAGGTATGGCTTGATTTCGAGGACGAAATCTTTTAAAGTTGGGGAGAATGTAATATTTATGACATGTCTTATATATATATATATATATATAATGTTAATTAAATAAAACATTTTGTAAAATTGGTGGGACCCATTTCTATCATTTACTACCATATGTGACAAAGGGTTATTTACAGACCTATCTTTTTTTTTCCAATCAGCATTCTCTCTCTCTCAGCCAGTGTTCTCTCCCTCGCTGCTTTGGTTTTTTTCTTTTTCTTTTACAACTTCAACTCTTGATTACTTCCTCATCTTTTGGAAATTTTGGATGCCGTTTGCGGCAAATTAAAGCCTATGACGAGATCTTCAAATCCATACCAGCAATTTCAGCTTTTGGCCACTCTAGGAAGTCCGAAAATTGAGACCCATTTTGAGGGTTTGAGGTGAAAATTGGGGTTTTTGGCTTAAATTGAGGTAGGGGTCTCTAACCCACATTTTCTTATTCCTTTGTGAGTTAATTTCATGTAATTGTTGTTAATTTATCTAATTCATGATAATTATCCTAGAATGATTATGTTGTAATGTATAAAGTTCATGATTCTATATAAATATATGATGATTTATGTTAAAAGCATGCTTACATGTTGATTTTCTATGTTTATCGTGTTGTGAATCGTGCTAGAAATGATGTATGTAACTATATATGTTTTCTTTGAAAATTTTGGCAGAATGATTAATTATGTTACTTGAAATTATCTTATTTCCATAGTAATGAAGGCATGAGACATACATGCATGTCATTGGGTATGAAGGACGGAAATGTTTTGAAAATGAATAAAAAAGGGATTTGGGAAACCTTTTTGAGAAAAGGATTTTTGTGAAAACCCGGACGCCAAGGGGGTACCGAGGGTCCGTGGCGTTAGTGTAGCCTAGAGGGAATTAGGAAGATCGCCCTAGCGTAGTTGAGCCAACTGGGCCCCAAATGACGCCGCGGGGTTACCAAGGGTCAGGGACAATGGCCAATCCTTCTCTCGTGTCGCCAACGGGGTATCAAGGGACGAGTTACGTTAACGGTTTGAAAAGTGAAGTTTTTTTTTTAAAGTGTAATTTGAAAATGGGGAGTAACATGCATAGCATTGCATTCATGTCATAGAAATTTGTTAGTCTTGAACTCAAGAAATTTATTTCGTGTTTTCCTTGGTTTAGAATGATCCCTATTCTTTATCCCTATTCATTATTTGGATTCACGGAGCCATAAGAGGTGTGTCTTAAGCACCACCTACTGAGCAATTTTGCTCACCCCTTATATTTAACATTTTTTTCAGGAAACGGGAAAGAAGTGGTGGATGACGTTCCACCATAGGCCTAAATTGGATTAGAAGATAGTTTTGCTATTTTTGTATTTAAGTCACATATTTTTTTGTAAAATCTTAGTTTGTTATATTGGGTATAGAGATTTGTGAACTCTTGTTATTGTAATTATATTTATGGGCTGTAATTTTATTATAAATTGTCTAAACGTTGTAAGACATGGACTTTAGATCTTAACCATGTATTGTTGGGATTGTAATCACGATATTTGGATTAAATGGTATCTGGATGTTCTACCATGAGATGAACTATGTCGAGGCATGATGAATGGATGAAAGGGATGCTAGAATGTATTATTTGCATTGTGTTGGGAAAGGTTAGATAAATTTTGAAGGTCCAAGAGAGAGACCTTTGTATTTTTATGCATTAAGCAGGTTATCGTAGGACCTTTTTTAGTGGAGGTCATGCCGAATTTTTTTTATAAATGGTATCAGTTTAAGGTCGTTACACATGGCATGTAACAAAATCAACTGAGCCCTCTTTTATATGTTACTGCATGGACTTGTTAAAGTTTTCACTGGAACTTTAGGTGCAAGACATCAGAGTATCCCATCTAAGCCACTTCTATGTAATCACTAAAATACATTAATCTTGAGAAGTTTGCTCAATTCAACTAAAAGGGTATAGAAAACAAGTAAATTAAATTAATTATTCAAATTCAAGAGTACAATCCAATAAACCTGACAAATCCTAGCCAATGCAAATATAACATTGCAAATATCGAATTCAAAATCCAATAGCATAACCATAGGAGGAATGCAAACTTCAGCAGTCACTTCTATATCCTTAGTTTCTAGCTAGTTTACGTGCAGACCATACGGCTGGCATTGGAGATGGCATGGGACCATAACTACTTTCAACGGGCTCAGAGGCATAATTTCCGAAAGGCTCTGGTGCTGGAGCTACAGATTGAGGTAGCACAGTAATGGCAAGCTTCTGGTTGCCAACCTGACAATGCTGGCCAACACCACATATGTACCATTTTCTCCCGGGAGTGGCTAGGGTGATCACATCATTTCCGGTGGTCAGAGCCTCACTGGGAGGCGGCTTCGTGCACTCTTGGAAGGCAGTTCCATTTACTTTGAAGACGTTGTGGTCTCCCACAAGATAATTGAAAACTGCAATACAGAGTTGATTCATTCATGTAGAATTAATTTTCAAATTATTCTTTTGAAGATAAGAGTGAACAAGGTAACTAGTCTCATATCTAAAATTTAAGGTATGATAGAAGCACATAATTGAATTGCAGTTTTTTAAAAGATCATGAAACTTTTGTTTTAGCATTGTACAATGGAACATCAAAATATGATGCAAAGTTCAATATGATGCAAAGTTCAAAATTAAGAGAAGTACGTAGTAGAGCTAAAGTACCTAGTTTGTCTCCAACCACGAACTCCTTTCCCTGAGCCCAGGATTGGTAATCGAAGTATATGGTCCAGCCGCTATCATCCCCAACAATGAATTCCTTTGCAGAAACTGAAATGGAGAGTGCAAGGATGGCAATGATGATGAACTGGGTAGAGGCCATTGTAACTTTTATGCAGTTATAGGCTCTAATTCTATCACTTGCTTTTCTTCAAGTGGCTTCTCAGAAGTGATTGCCATAAGGAGATAGAATGGCACCTACTTATAGATATCTAATCAGAACAAGAATGCATATGGACCGGCATGGCAGGCCCCAATTCATCCCAAAATTCTATGATTTAACATTTTAAAAAAAAACATGTCACACTCAAAGAACTGCAGCAACAAATTTTATTAGATCCTGAACGATTTTGAGTTAATTCTTTGAATATATACATTTTTGTATGTGAATGTTTGTCTGTACGTAAATTTAGGCGTAGAGTTTGAAGTTATAGTTCAATTTATAGAGTTTTTTTAAGTCTTTAACATTAGGCAATCTACCGGCTAAATGTTGTGAGCCAAGTTAAATTATGCAACAATTGGCTCCGGACGTATTTTTTTTATTTTTTAATGTTTGGTTGTCTCAAAATATTTACGAATGAAAAAAAATATTAAAATTTAACAAAGATAACTTATTTATCAATTTTCGGCAAGTTATTTTACATGCCCGCCCAATAGACTCGATCTCAACCTCGATGTAAACATTTACCTAACACCAACAAAGTAAAAATAATAGAATATTTTACCTGAAAAAAAAAAATATTTTTTAAAAAAAATATTTTACGTCAAAACAAACAGAACCTTAATGTTTATAATATTATTACTATGACTGTCGATTTAACTATAAAAATTAGAAAATCTGTCTTTGACTTGGTCTTTTACAACCATTGAAATTATAACCGGCAGTGAATGCGAGTTGTTCACGTTGGAGTGATATACAAGTGGAGGGTATTCACATTCAAAGAATGATGCAGTTGAAACAAGATTTCCAACCCTATGCAATTTTAGTGATATATATATAAACATATGTCCATAAAACAAGTAAAATACTGAAAAAGAACTCCGTGGGTGTCCAGACTCCAGAGAGGCCATCAGTCTTCAGAACTTCATAAATTAACCTGATTATAAGAGTGAGCACAATGGTTTTCCCACCCACGTTAACAAATTTACAATGCGTTTGGGTTTTGAGTTCAATAAATGATGGAGTAGATTATAAGAGAAGCTGAACAAGTTGTCATAAAAACAATATATATATATATATATATTATTACTGTTTTGTTACTATTTTTTAATATTCAAAATATTCATAAATTGTATCTAATTTATCATTATTGCGTAAGTGGCTTAGGACACCATGCACCTTTGGTAATTTTATTCCACATGTAACCTAATTATAATTAATTGATTAAGCTTCCTTAACAATTCACTTTTAGAAAAAAAAAAAAAAAAAAAAAAAAAAAAAAAAAAAAAAAAAAAAAATTCCAATTTAGTCATCTCAATTGTTAAGTGATTTTCAACTTATTTATTTGTCATATTTTGATTTTACTAATTACAATAAGTAAAACCTGACTTGGGAAACAATTCCAAAGTTGGTTAATCTACTCAAGGATCCTCAAGTAAATTAATGAGCTTCACTCAACTATAGTAGTACTATAATACCATGCTGCGTTCTGGTCAAACTAGTCAACTAGTTGTCAAAATCAACACTTACATAAATGACCCGACCCATAGGTGGATCCAATGGATTGGGCTCCATGTGTGTTGTCTTCAATGTCCAACAGCCCTAATTTTATGTAATATAAGACGCTTTAAGTCGGAGCAGGGAGGCCTCTCTGCAGCCTTTTTATCTCCCAAATCCTTGAAAACTCTCTCTCTCACAGTATCAGGTATGGTCCCAGAGTCAGACAACTTCGAAGCATTGATATTTAGAATATATATATATATATATATATAGGTGCGAATCCTTCTGTGGTAAGCAGATCATGAAGTTGTTATGGACAAAAATAAAAATAATAATAAAAGCGGCATTTAAACATTACGGAGTACTATTTAGTGAAAACTGTGTAGTGTTGACAGTTGTTACCTGGAGGCACAACAATAACTTTCAAACTTTGTAGCATATATATAGTATAATATAATATACTATGATCAAAATATATTTAATATTCCTTTGCACAACCGGATTATTTCATCCAAGGAAAACCTTTTTTTTTTTTTCTACAATTTATTAATAAAACCAGATTTATTTCGTATAGAAAATAACTTTGATTTTGTGATGATTTTTTAAGGCTCACATCCTGTTAATTACCTCAATATCACTCCTTATTTTCATTTCTTTGGTTTTTTCTTGACCAACTCTTAAGTAGAATTTTCTCCCCATAGTATATAAGTTTTACTTTTGTTGAGAAAAAAAAAAATTTATATATGTATATATATATATTTAAATCTTTGCTTGAGGCTCAAATGTCTCTCATCAATGTGCCAGCGTCAATTCCTTTAAAACCCCCAAGCCCCTTCACTCTTAGGATCGCAAATATCTTCGGAGTTGCTCTGCACAAACAACCCGATTTGATATCTAACGATGTTCAAAGAATAATCAAGCAATCACAAAGGGAAAAAAAAAAAAAATCACACACAAGAACACAAGATATACATGGTTCACCCAAATCTTAGGACTATGTCCATGGAGCACACCGAACAAATTCACTAAGAAAAAAATGAAGAATTACAATGAAGAATTTTCTCTCAATCTCTCTTAATTGCTCTCTCTTGTATTAGTACAAATTAATCAATCACACAAGACGTATGATGATTTCTGTTTCTTCTTCTCTCTATTTTTTACCAGACCCTAAGATCTGATTAGAGTTGATATATATATACCCCCAATAATTTGTCCTACAAGAAATTGCCTTTAGTAGACCCTAAAACTCAACATCCTTGAAGTTTCTATATAATTAAATCACTCCACAATCCTAGTGCACTTTGTTCTTTGTGTATATATATGTCTCATATCCTCTTTAGACCACAACAAAGCTCTAAAATTCTCTCTATTTTCTTAAGCACACTTTTTGGGAGGATAAAAAACTGCTCCATTCTATTTATGTACTGAATCGAACCGATCTAATAAGATACTACCTTCGTGTATGAGAGAGAAATTTTGGTGTAGTATCCATTTTTGGCACTAAGTTTCTCTGCAAATTCGTTCCATATGCTATAGGTCACCCATTCGAAGTGAATTGGCATAGATGAAGTCATTTTCATGCCACATTGTTAATCTTGTATCTACATGATAAGAATACGATGCAGTAACACCGCGTGACCAACATTCTGAACAGTCCCGGATCATTAAGGGTGAAGTAAAATTTGACAATCATGACTTCCATTTCTTTAAAATTGGAAAGTGTGTGTATAGTGAACATGACATGTAACAAAATCAACTGAGCCCTCTTTTATATGTTGCTGTTTGGACTAGTTAAAGTTTTCACTAGAACTTTAGGTGCAAGACATCAGAGTATCCCATCTAAGCCACGTCTATGTAATTAGTGAAATACATTATTCTTGAGAAGTTTGCTCAATTCAACAGAAAGAGTATAGAAAACAAGTAAATTAAATTAATTATTCAAATTCAAAAGTACAATCCAATAAACGTGGCAAATCCTAGCCAAAGCAAATATAACATTGCACATATCGAATTCAAAATCCAATAGCATAACCATAGGAGGAATGCAACCTTCAGCAGTCACTTATATATCCTTAGTTTCTAGCTTGTTTACGTGCAGACCATACGGCTGGCATTGGGGATGGCACGGGACCATAAGTACTTTCAGCGGGCTCAGAGCCATAATTTCCGAAAGGCTCAGGTGCTGGAGCAACAGATTGAGGTAGCACAGTAATGGCAAGCTTCTGGTTGCCAACCTGACAATGCTGGCCAACACCACAAATGTACCATTTTCTCCCGGGAGTGGCTAGGGTGATCACATCATTTCCGGTGGTCAGAGCCTCACTGGGAGGCGGCTTCGTGCACTCTTGGAAAGCAGTTCCATTGACTTTGAAGACGTTGTGGTCTCCCACAGGATAATTGAAAACTGCAATACAGAGTTGATTCAGTCAAGTAGTATTAATTTTCAAATTATTCTTTTGAAGATAAGAGTGAACTAGGTAACTAGTCTCATATCTAAAATTTAAGGTATGATAGAAGCACAGAATTGAATTGCAGTTTTTTCAAAGATCATGATAATTTTGTTTTAGCATTGTACAACGGAACATCAAAATATGATGCAAAGTTCAAAATTAAGAGTAGTAGTCCTAAAGTACCTAGTTTGTCTCCGACCACGAACTCCTTTCCCTGAGCCCAGGATTGGTAATCAAAGTATATGGTCCAGCCGCTATCATCCCCAACAATGAATTCCTTTGCAGAAACTGAAATGGAGAGTGCAAGGATGGCAATGATGATGAACTGGGTAGAGGCCATTGTAACTTTTTGTGCAGTTACAGGCTCGAATTCTATCACTTGTTTTTCTTCAAGTGGCTTCTCAGAAGTGATTGCCATAAGGAGATAGAATGGGGCCTATTTATAGATTTCTAATCCGAACAAGAATGCATATGGACCGGCATGGCAGGCCCCAATTCATCCCAAAGTTCTATGATACAACATTTAAAAAAAAAAAAAAAAAAACATGTCACACTCAAAAAACTGCAGCAACAAATTTTACTAGATCCTGAATGATTCTGAGTTAAATCTTCGAATATATACATTTTTATATATGTGCATGTTTGTCTGTATGCAAATTTAGGCGTAGAGTTTGAAGTTATAGTTCAATTTATAGAGTTTTTTAAGTCTTTTAACATTAGGGAATCCACAGGCTAAATGCTGTCAGCCAAGTTAAATTATGCAGCAGTTAATGTTTATAATATTACTACTAAGACTGGGTCAATTTAACTATAAAAATTAGAAAATCTGTCTTTGACTTGGTCTTTTACAACCATTGAAATTATAACTGGCAGTGAATGCGAGTTGTTAATGTTGGACTGATATAGAAGTGGTGGTACTCACATTCAAAGAATGAAGCAGTTGAACCAAGATTTACACTGGGATTACGAAAACTCCTGCAACCCTATGCAATTATTTACTTTAGGAAGTGATATATATTGTTAGAAATTTGTCTAAAATTCAATTATGACATGGCAAAAATTTATTGGCCACAGAAGTGTGATGGTGAAGTTTTCAAATTAGCTTCCAAAGGAAGCTTTGAAATTCTTGGGCAACAAAAATTATTCTTGGGCAGCAAGTGCTATTTGGCTTCCAAAGGAAGTTTTGTAATATACTTGGACACCAAGTATATTTTTTGCTATAAATAGCCTTGCACTCATTCGATGAAAAGCATCCGAGTAAGAGAGAGAGAGACAATATTCGGGTCAAGAGAGTATATTGATTTTGTGTGTGTGAGAAAATCGTTTTGTGTGTGCAATCTTCAAGTGACACTTGAAGCTTGTATTTGGGTGGGTTTTTCTCTTTGTGTAAACCATATCCTGTTTGGGGTTTTTCTTAAGAGTGTTGTGTGAGTCTTCTTTTGTTGCTGAATGAGTAGTGTGAGAAAAGAGATTATTATGGGGAAGAACCAAAATGTTATTCAGTTTGTAATCTTCTTCTTTATAGTGATACAAATCATCATCGTCCGTGAACGTAACCCTATTTGTGGGGGTGATTTTTCTTGTAATTAATTTTCTCTTTGTTCTCATAAACTCCTATTCAGTCCCTATTTCATAACAAACTGGTATCAAAGCTCGGGTTCGTGTCGTACGGTACTGTACACAGATACGGTACTTTTCACTGAAAAATATTTTGGGAAGTTTTTTGAGATGTCGACCAGATCGATACGAGATTGAGAAATTTGATGGCAAGATTAGTTTTAATCTTTGGCGCATTAAGATGTAGGCCGTGCTGGTTTTGGCAAATGAAGGATTAGAAAGAGGAGTTACGATCCTAGTTCTCAAAAAGGTTGTGAGGGGACTACACAACGTGGTGGGAGAATGAAATCCATTTTCAGATGGCAACCGAAATTGCAACAGTCCTTATAGGGAGGCAAACCCATGAGGACAGGTGTGATATTAACTAGTAATAATCTTGGTGGCAATGAGATAGTCCATTCGCGTGCTATTAAGATGTGTGAGAGGTAAGTAGTTGGTCACAATAGAGATGCGAGGAAAAGTCAAGGACGTTCTATTCTCCACAATGGTGAGAAGATGACTTTTCATTACCAACCGATGGTTAGTGGGCAGTTGGAGAAGATTGTTGAAGGAGATGTCAAACTTAGATTTTCTGAGGGTAAGCACTTAAAGTTTGACAGAAATACTGGAGGTATGCTTATGACTGCGCAAGACATGCATGGGTTAAAGAATGAAAGCCCGAGGGTTAAGTTTGAGGATGACTCAAACTTAACTAAAATTCTTTATTAATTTGTTTTGTGTTAGAGATGATAATGGCATTATTTTTATAACTCACATTGAATTGAAGAAAGACACTTATGATGTTGTCTTATCATATGTGCTAAGGTGGAGAAATTTTGCCAAAGATAGAGTTTTGTTGAAAATTGTGGCTTATTTGAAATTTTTGCCAAGGTGGAGAATTTTAGTCAAGGTGGAGATTTGATAAAAATTTGCCTAAAATTCATTTATGACATGGAAAAATCTATTGGCTACAGAAGTGTGATGGTGAAGCTTCTAAATGAAGCTTTGAAATTCTTGGGCGACAAGAATTATTCTTGGGCAGCAAGTGCTATTTGGCTTCCAAATGAAGCTTTGTAATATACTTGGACACCAAGTATATTTTTGGCTATAAATAGCCTTGCACTCATTCGATGAAAAGCATCTGAGTAAGAGATAGAGAGAGAGAAAATATTCGGATCAAGAGAGTATATTGGTTTTGTGTGTGCAATTTTCAAGTGACACTTGAAACTTGTATTTGGGTGGGTTTTTCTCTTTGTGTAAACCATATACTATTTGGGGTTTTTCTTGAGAGTGTTGTGTGAGTCTTCTTTGTTGGTGAATGAGTTGTGTGGGAAGAGATATTATTGTGGGGAAGAACCAAAACATTCTTCAGTTTGTAATCTTCTTCTTTATAGTGATAAGAATCATCATGGCCCGTGGACGTAACCCTATTTGTGAGGGTGAACTACGTATAAATTCTTATCTAGTTTATGTGTGTTCCTATTTATTTTTCTTGCCATTAATTTTCTCTTTGTTCTGATAAACTCCTATTCAGTCCTTATTTCATAACATATATATATATATATATATATATATATACACACACACACACACACATAAAACAAGTAAAATACTAACCCCAGCAATGTAAGACACTTTATGTCGGAGCAGGGAGGCTTCTCTGACCCTAGCAATGTAAGACACTTCAAGTCGGAGTAGGGAGGCCTCTCTGCAGCCTTTTTATCTCCCAAATCCTCGAAAACTCTCTCTCTCAGTTGTATCAGGTATGGTCCCAGAGTCAGGCAACTTTGAAGCATTGATATTTAAAATCTATATGTATATATATATATATATATATATATTGGTGTGAATCATTCTAAGGTAAGCAGATCATGAAATTGTTCTGGACAAAAATAAAAATAATAATAAAAGCTGCATTTAAACATTACGGAGTACTATTTATTAGTGAAAAGTGTGTAGTGTTGTTACCTGGAAACACAACAATAACTTTCAAACTTTGTAACAAATATATATAATATACTATGCTCAAAATATATTTAATATTCCTTTGCTCAACCGGATTATTTCATCCAAGTAAAACTGTTTTTTTCTTACATTTTATTAATAAAACCAGATTTATTTCATATAGAAAATGACTTTGATTTGTGAGATATTATTTTGTATTTGGCAATTATCGTAAACAAAATAAGTCCAAGTCAAGTTGTAATTAAAGTTACTTGTAATGCAAGTTATCAAGATCGACGGCGACTAAGGAATTGGAAGGTTAGTCAAAAATGTCATAACTGAGATCATCACAAAAAGGAAGAACAACATGTTAGGAAGAAATCCAAAAAGGTTAGACCACATTCCATATTTGGTTAGTTTTAGAACATACCAAAAATAGTGCTTAGAACCTTAGGAATCAAGTATAGCAAAGCTTGACATTTAAATTTGGCCTAGAAATCATTCTGCCATACTTGAACCGGTTCCCACTTTCTTGAACTAGTTCAAGTCTTCATCATTGGCCTCGAAATTTATTCTGCCATACTTGAACCGGTTCCCACATTCCTGAACCGGTTTAAGAGTCCTGACAGCTTATGGAAAGTTCAATTTCCTGTTTCAGATTTCTTTCCTAGTTGGTCTAAAATTGTTCTAAGTCCTATGCATGAATTTCTTTCAAAGTGTGATTGCTTTTACTTTTGTTCTTCAATTATCTGAATGATGTAAAAGAAGATCTGCTTTTGTCTGATCATTGTAGATGCAACTGTATGATCACGATCAAGATTTGAACACCACAACTCTAAACTCTCTATGTGTTTATGTGTATTTGTTCTAGAAAGATAACAGAAAAATCAATTCTGATTTTCTGCAAAAATAATCTTCCTAAGGCTTTTAAAAATAATGAATTTGTAGAACAAAAGCCGTAAAAGCCGCCCTTAAACCAATGTATATGACATGGTTTATATAGAGGTTTGCAAAGTCCTATTCCTTCAGAAAATAAAGAAAAATTCGTGCATAGGACTTGGAAGGAAAGTTTAATCAAAAAGGTATTTAAACAGAACAAGGAAACTGGACTTCTTTTACAATCAGGACTTGTGGAACCAGTCCCAAAGGACAGTGAGTATTCTCGAATATTAGAACTTGGAGCTGGTTCCTAAATCTTGGTACCGGTTCCCACTTGACATATTCCAATATGAACTTGGAAAATCTGTATTTTTTGAACTCTGTAAATTTACCATGTATATCAATGTGTCCTAAGTGGGAAACGATGTCCTAATCGTTGTTCTTTCATTTTCGATGATCAACATTACTTTCCTCTTCTGTACAAACTTCCAATTCCGCAATTGATATCAAGTCGGATATGGTAACTGAAATTACAACTCAAATAGGATTAGTTTTGTTACCGAAATATGCCACTTTATAAAAATATATCTCACACATTCGAGAAGTGTTGTTTGATCTACCTGTTGTTCTTCTACAAAGATCAAGCATAAGCCTGAGGTCAAGTTGCTGGTGGACAGAGAGTCGCAAAGCCAGAGGATTGTCATTAATTGGTGTTTGGTAGAATGATAGAGTGTGAGCCAGAGTCAAAGTTCAGTGTACTTTGTTTCAAGCATAGTGGATCGGTTTACTTTGGACTGCACAGCCCACGAGGTTTTTCCTACGCAAACAATTGACGTATTTTATCAACTAGGGTTTCCTCCCTAAAAATCCTGATGTCAGCTCTAACTTTACTTTGCTTTATTTTATATTGCATGATATTAA